ATTACAGGGATACAGTTAGAGGACTTGGCCATTTACACAAACATAGAATCATTCACCGTGACTTAAAGCCTGAAAATGTCTTAATACACAAAGACACATCTATTAGTGCAAAAGTGTCGGATATGGGCATTAGCAAACGCCTATCCGCCGGTAAATCTTCTTTAACAAAAAGCACAACAGGCAAGTCTTCTTTCATATTTTTCATTATGATGTATTACTTTACTACCATTTGAATGGGCAAAATGCAAGAAAAAGCAATTTTGTTCCCAATTTCTTTCTTATTATAGCTTTATGCTTTAGAAAAATTACCCGTTATAGCGGTGAGATTCGAATCATGATGACATGGCACATGTTGACATATTTTTATGCAATGTCATTGTCCACTTCGGATGTACACGTGTGACATTATGCTGGGGTGGAAGAACAAAAACTATACATATTAGCTATTTAAAAAAAAAACATAGCCAAAATGAGAGAAAGGACAAGCCAAAATGAGAGAAAGGACAGGTTTTTATAACAATATTTATACATTTCGTTTCATCAATGATGATCTAAATCTCATATTATAAGTGCATTTTCTTATGTAAAAAAACTATACATTTTTTGACACACCATCAATACGTTACTCGTGTACGTCCTAGGTGGAATGTTAATTTGTGCTATGCCATCATAATTATTATAATCTCATTGCTATAATGGGCATTTGAAGTGCAATTCTCAAGAATAATCTGAGAGTACAATGTTGTAATTAGAACTTGTATGTTTTAAATAGGCATTGGGAGCTCTGGGTGGCAACCACCTGAGCGACTTTTGAATAAAGAAGGACAAACGAGTGCTGTGGATTTGTTCAGTTTAGGGTGTCTGATTTTCTTTTGTATAACTCATGGTCGCCACCCGTTTGGTAAGGATGAGGATGGGCGTGATGGAAGAATTAAGAAAGGCGAGAAATGTATGTCATTGGTAAAAAAATATCCTGAAGCCCATGATCTTATCTCTCGTCTCCTAGATCCCGATCCTAAATTCAGGTATGATTCATGTAATATTATCTAAAATTTCTTTCCAACATGATAAACTATGGTGAAAGTAGTTAAAAATACCATGGGGAGTGTATTAATTAATAATTAGACTTGCTTGAGTTGATAAATGATAGAGAATAGATCACATATAAACATAGGAGCAAACTTTGGAGGGACCTAATTGTAATATTTATTATTTAATGTTTTGCACCCTACCTAGAATCATCTTATCGATTTAACCACTCAACCGAGTAAAGCATTCTATTTTTTTGACCGTTATGAAAGTCATATTTTCTTGTTACTCTGATTTTGATATGGGATAGGCAAAATTTGAAAAAGCACAATGTAGATTAACCATTGTCTTGCCACGGGATAGGCAAAATTTGAAAAAGCACAATGTAGATTAACCATTGTCTTGCCACTGAACTATTATTATAGTCGTCATAAAGAAATAGTAGTTCAGTGGCTAAATTGATATAATAGTAAAAGTAGTTTTTGTTTTTCTGTATTTTGCCTCTTTTGAAAACCAGTAAATGGAAAAAATGGTTTTTATAAATGATTGAAAATACTTATAATGGCTTAATTACTACAAAAAATAGTTTAGCGGCTAAATCTTTAAATTTGTGACAGTACATCAGTCTGCTTTTCTGTCTTTTGCCTTTTTACAATACAGGTACCGAGAGATAGGGGTTTAAGTGAGCCGAACTACTCGCGAGCTACTCGGGATCGACTCGTTAAAAGCTCGACTCGAGATCGAATTAAACGAGCCCGAGC